TTGTTATTTCTCTTTGTAAAACAAAATAGAAATCCAATTATATAATGACTGTAATATGTTGACAACTTGTTGTAAAGTAAAATATTGATGTCATTTCTTCTTGTGAAGTCATGTTATGAGAATTTCCAATTTATTCAATTTTATTTTATCTACATTTGTAATTCTATCACCAAAATTAAAATGAAAAGTTCTTTTTTCATGGTCATTTGTGTTTATGTTAATCTTTATGCAATGTCTTTGATTTTCCTCACATTCTTCTGGTATCTGTTAATCTTTCTTAGAGATTAATATTTTTAGGTTTATTTTAGCCATATATTGTTACTATAATTTAAAACTCATTATTAAATTTGTTTAAATTAATCTTATACTCATTAATGACACAATTACCAGACTCCATATGTTGCTGTTAATATAATATTATATCAAGTATGACACAATATGTGATTTTCTTGCCATTCAGTTTAATTACACTTTATAGCAAATTTGGTTAGCATTTGCATATTCTTATATATGTTGCCCTAAATACATGTAGTTTTTACTACACAATAGTATATGGGCTGTTCAAACCTTCAATACACAGGACAGCATATTGGTTGCACTGACATTTTATTTATTACACAGTATATAGGCTGCCCTAACATATTATTGACACTTTAGCTTTCATATAGATTGTGTTTTATGCATATTTCAATGGGGGTAATATTGCCTTATTACATGGGACAGCATAATGATAAGTGTTGCACTGGCATGCAATATTTCATCACAATAGGCAACATATAGATTTACTCTGACATACTATTTCACTACACAGGACAGCATATGAGCAGGCCTTTGATGTATTTTCATTTCATGACGCAGCATATGTACTATGCTCATGTGCTACTTTGAAATATAAGACTCAAAAAAATTTGCTCAATACTGTGTAAGAGGGAAATTGACCTTTTCGAAAATCTAGCTTAACACCATTTTTCGATACATTATGGGAAATTACACCAGATGAAGAACTTGGCATTATTTTGTGATATTTCTATTTATTTTTATTGATATTTTACCATTTAAGGTGGAAAACTTGATGTGTTAGAAAATTATCAATGTTTATTATGTATTTTCACTTTAATCCAAAAAAAGTCCAAAAACAACCTTACTGCTATTACACGCCATTTATAGATGGATTCCAAAGAGCTTACATCTGAAATGTACAGAAAGTATTGGAAAAAGCTGTTTAGCTTGGTAATCAAATTAATTTTGTGAATGGCAAAGTATGTGATGTATAAAATGTATAAATTCATAGTTTTTTCCCCTCTATTAGAGATTGTGTCATCACTATACTTCTTTTATGTACATTTCTTTGGTCATAGTTAGAAGTAATGTGACATAGTATTGAACTTATCTAATATTGTTTAACCATCCATTAACTTGCTGAAACCAAAATTTTATTAGCATTTGCCACCAGTATGCATTCTGGTCAGGCTGCAAAAATGTGAAGGTAATTCAATTTTCATATTTTGATATTGAAATCCCTTAAACTTTAAATGGACTGTTACAAATTCAAAGCAGGATAGGTCCATTACACAAATTCAGCAGGTTAAGGTTTAAAAGATTTTAGTTGTAAAGAATATACATTAAATTCATGACAATACTCCTTATAAATCATCGGCCTACATTGAGAAAATAGCATTTATTGATTTTTCAAAATGTTTATTATCCTCGGGAACTATTTCCATCTTACTCATGGTACAATCAAAAAAAATCCACAAGAATGAAAGAATGAAGGTATATTATAGGTCTGTTTCTTTTCTGTATTAGAATTTGAAAATACAATGTTTTGATATATTTCATTTGTAAATACATATATTTTCATACTTCTTTATTTTTACAGCGCTTTAATTATATATTTTGAAGCTTATGAATTTAGACACCTACCTATACATATTGAAGAATCCAGTTCATTTTGGAAGAAATGTTTATATTTAACCTTTTCCGTACACCTATTTTTATAAAAATGTCACAAATTTGTACCACAATGTGCCCTGTTGAAAATTGTGTATGAAAAACATGGCAGTCTTTCATTGAGGGATTATCATCAGAAAAATTCACTATCATAAGATAGAATCTTGCCGGCATAATCTAAGTCAATACATGCAAGTTCAAGGTCACCAGGGATGATGAAATTGGTAGAGTCAGATTTTGTAGAGACCATATCTTCCACATGCATAGATAGAATGTAGTGTTAACAGTATACAAGTGTTCACCAAGATGTAGTGACCGAAACATGAATCAGGTCTCAATGTCAGTCACACTTTGAGGTCAGAGGAAAATGCTTTTCTGTTGCAAACACCTACATATTTGAATGTGACATGGCACAAATGTTCACCAATTTCAGACAAAATGTTGCACACAAAATTCAGGATCCTGTGGCCCAGGTTCAGGTCATACATAGAGGTCAAAAGTCAGATTAGAATATGAAAATGTGTGCATTGATGATTTGGAAATCTTTGATTCAAAGATTGTGTAAAAAAATGTTCACATTGGCAGGATTAACATAATCCAGGTTCAAGCAAGTTCAAAGTCACAAAGGTGATGAAATGTCTAGATTTCACCCAGAGCATATTTTCTACATGTATAGAGGGACTTTGGTATAGTGTTGCATGCAAACTTGAGATCTCTTTTGCCAATGTCAAGGTCACTTGCAGAAGTTCAAGGTCAGACATGAAAATGTGAGTTTTGATGATTTATAGAATTTTCACTCTTACAAGACTGAGCATTTGTGACAAGGGTATTTTGTGACAGACTGGCACTCTAGTTTTAACTCTGTTTTGATGTATATTTTAAATACTGAATGACCTTTACAAAATTGAAGAAATGGATATACTTTTTTTTGCTTTATATAAATATGAATATTTTGTCACAATTTGTTAACAGAGATCAGCGCTAGTGTACACAAAATTTAGTTTTGTTTATTGAGTAAAATAAAGCTTATCTGTAAACAATTTGTACATTTGTATCTTATATCAATAAACTTTATATGGCCTTTACTTTATCAGATTCAATTAAAATCTGCTCTTGAACTTTCTAGCTTTATTGTTGATTTATCAAGTATTTATTTCCTTGAAATCCAATTAAAATACAACATTTTAGGTCAACATATTTAAAGAATCATTATTCATGTAAAAAAAAATGCATCATTTTGTTCACTCAATATGATTTCGATAAATAATTGTTAACTGAGAAAGGTTGTTTAGAATCTCATGTAAGGTTGAATTTGTAAGGACCTGGTTTATTTGTGAGATTTTATTAGTGTATTTAGTAGGAAAGAATAGGTTAGCACAAAATTATTTTTATTTAGTCTTATTAAAATATGTTTGTTCAATTAATATGTATGAAATTAGGATAAAGATTGGTATTTCCATATTAAAAGTATCAAATTGATCATGTTTATTTACTGATCTAACATTATAAATATTAATACTCTAATGAATCATGTTTTCAATTAGAAATCAATATTACAACTACATTGTAATTGTTTCAACCATCAATTAAATATTTAATTGTTAACTTGTTAGTCAAGTTACAGTGATATTACATGTTCATTGCTGCAGATTGTAGCTGCCTATATTTTACTCTGTTTCATAGATTTTATTGTTTCATATTAATGAATTCTGTAAATATTGCTGGTTATTTATGTAATAAAATTCTAAGAAAGTTGATGGACTTTAAGTTATCAGTTATACTTTATACAAATTTATTTTAGTTTGATTGTGTTGGAAGCTTCAAGCTTATTCAGTTTTCAAACAATCCCAAATCCAATCTTTGAACCAACCACTTCTAAGTAATGAATGTAAAGTTTCTTGCTGAAAAAAAACAACAGCTTGCACCTGACAGGGTTTGAACTCATGAGGCCAGTAATCCTAAGATCACTAGTTTGACATGTTAACCACTCTGCTATGCCGACGGAGTTATCAGTTTACCTCAATATTACACATGTGAGACACTTCGCTAGTGTTTTTATGCTCTGAAGCCTCTTATCTGTAGGACTGGTAGGCATATTGATAGTACATGTATACATATACTGTAACCTAGACTGTTACATGTTCATTCTGTTAGCTTTAACTTACATACTTGATTTAAAATACCAATGGCCAGCAGCTTTATTTTACATAATGAGAGTATGACCATGACCCCTATATTGCCATGACATAAAACACCCATTGCCAACAGCTATATTGTACATAGTGTACCTGAATATGACCCTGACCCCTTAAAATAACCTTTTAGGTTAAAATTTCTAGGAAAAGTGATGTTTATTTTGTTATCGACATATTAGAGACAGGTGCTAGTTTGTTATATGTAACATCTTGTTTAGATCTGTATTATGTACAGACACAAAACATCTCTAGTTTAACATGCTGACATAGGTTTCATATGCTTTATGATCTATGTACAGTGTACCCATAAATACAAATGTACATGTATCTTGTAAAATGTTGAGCCATCAATCCTATCTTACAGCACATTACAGATAACTTACCAGTAATTCCTCCACAAGTGGCATACTACTACTAATCTCACATAATTTCTGAATCACCAGTGACAGACATGTGACCATTAGAAACACAATATCCTAGATCAGTTGTCAGGGAGAAATTCTGCCACGCCGGAGGATCATACCAATGACCCCTGGATTAAAAAATTCAATGCTCTCCCTATGGTCATGGCTTAAAACACACAACTTACAAAAAGCAGAAGAAGACTTAGAAACAAGGAAAACAATATCTGATGTTTACAGTTTATATTTGTATTATATACTTATAAACATCATTAATACTGAGGTTACATTTAACATATATGACAACATTTCAACAGTATTCAAATTATTTACTCAGCCCACCTAAAAAAGTCTTTGTTTCACACACTTCAAATATAGTCGTCTTTATATTGAATACACATTTATAATGAACTGTTTATATATATTCTTTAAAAAAACAACACAATACCTTATACATGGACAATACATACAATCTAGTTCACTGTACCCTTTATGATTACATTATCATTTCATTCAAAATAAAAAAAATACAGGAATGGTGTTCTATTCTTGAACTTGTAAAACAGTAATGGAGCATATATTTGAATTTAATACTTGAAAAATAAGGCTCAAGTTTTTTATAAGGAAAAATTTAATTTACCTTCAGACTGTCTATATTGTACATGTACATCAAATTAAGAATTTATTCATTAGAACATAAAACCTTGTGTATATAGTACATTTAAGTATGGAATACTGACTAAAATGCTTAATATATTTCTTAGCACATTTTATATATTTTTAGTTTGATTAAGATGAAATTTCAAATATCATCAAAACTTATGATTGCTGAAAAGTTTTATCAAAAACTGTGCACATTTAGTAAAGAGTAACATCAAACTTTAAAGACTAAGTTTGAGGCTTTAAAGCTAGGCACAACAATTTTTCTGAAAAACTTCAAATTTATGACGGCTGCATGAAATGTTTAAGCAATATATAAATATTTCCAAACCTTATTGTTGCTTTTGAATATATAAAATCTGACAGTATTTACTTTTTTACTTAATTTCTCTCCCATTACTAATGGAGTAAGACATATATTTTCATTTCTATGCATTATACGTAGTCTAAAAGGACAGTGAATGCTTTAGACTTGCTTAGCTCACTTTATTTGTTTACCTAACAGTATTTCTTGTGTTTTTTTTTTACACTTTTTAAATTATCATTAAACTAAGCATGAATTTAGAAGCATTCAGCCTTTAATGATGGAACTGACATATATGGTACCCTTTTAACATAACATTATTCTAACTGATTAGACAAACATGTTATATCTGTAAATATAAATATTCTTATAAATATAATATCACAGTTGCTTGATAAGTAAATCTACTTCTAGCCTAGACTACTCCATGTTAAACAAATGAGCTGCGTCACAACAAAACCAACATAGTGCATTTGCGACCAGCATGCGCATCCGCGCAGTCTGATCAGGATCAATGCTGTTCGCTGTCAGTTTCTCCACTTGTAATAGAGTTGGTAAGCGAACAGAATGGATCCTGATCAGACTGCACGGATGCGCAGGCTGGTCTGGATCCATGCTGGTCTCAAACCCACTATGTTGGTTTTGTCGTGGCACGGCTCAAATGTCAATTTTAATCAGTCATACAGATAGACTAAAGAAACAAAAGACCTAATGTAAGCCTTGTCTTGATCAACTCATACATCTGAAATATACTTTATGAACCAAAAAAGTGTGCAATTGTATAAAAATATATTTTAATGTGAAGATGTTGATGATATATAAAGTCATATTTAAACAGTTTCTGATATACTAAGCAAGATTGGGCACTAATCTTTTGTTGAAATTTAAATATTTCTTGGATATTGATATTTAAAGTTAAGTAATGAAAAACAAATAATTTTTTTTATTTATAAAAATAATGGAAGTATGGAGTAAATAACTAAATACTTTCTGACTATACAGAATAAATTTGTATAGTATATCCTGATGAAACAATAGAAGCAAATCAAACTCTTTACAATAAAATTTCTAAATTATGATTTCAAAAGAATTTCTCTCCAAAATGAATATAATATAAAAAATTTATGACCGTTATTTCTAATTGATAATTTGACATAGGATTTAAAAAAATTCAGCTGAATGTAATTAAAAATACTTCTATCTGTGATATTTTAATTGACTTAAAATTAATTACATGTTAACATTTATAAAAAAAGAGTTCTTATTCACATGCTTTAAATGTCCTCCATTTATACAAATGAATAAGCATCTAACCTCTATATTGTGTTATACTGGATTATAAACAACAGCATGGTATTTGTTAATTGCTTATTAAATGATAAAGTAAGTAAATTAATCTGTTAAAACAGTTAGTTTAAAAACTATTAAAAGTCTCCTAGTCACTCATATAAAAACAAATCCCCTTCATAAATTAACATACTAATTGGAAACGTTTGATTTTTATACAACCAATAACATCTGTTCGAAAATTACAAAACGTTGAAAAATTAAAACTTATCCTACAACTTAGCCAAATATAATATTTTAATAAGTCATCATTTCAATGTATATTGATTTTTTACTAAATAAAATAAGAAATAAATAAATAAACAATCGCACTTCTAATGACTAAGGGGTTAAAAAAATCTGATTTAAAAAAAATCTGATTAAAAAAAAAAAGATTTAATATCTTGGTCATGTGAGATCATTTGGAACCTGATCATTCAAGGATGTCTCAGAAAGGTCATCATCACTAAGGTCAAGGTCATCCATATCAAGGTCATCTGGAAGAAACAAACAAACATACAGTAAAAAAGTTAATATGTTATTGTCAAGCTATATGTTTCTATCATTTCTTAATGATCAACATTATATTTTGTCCAATCACATTGCAGTATTTTTCAAATTTCTGCTTAGTCTAACTATGGTTAATGTGTACTAACTAAATAAAATTTACTTAATCTGTCGTCTAACCTGAGTCTAACAAATTTCAATAATACATTATATTAGGGAGGAGTTAGAGGTGTCGTTTGCACTCTGAATTATAAAATATCTAGGTTTTCAAAACAATGCCAACGTTACTTTTTAAAGGTCAGGTGTTTCTAAATGTGAGGATACAATCAAATTTATTACACAGATAATACATGTGGGGCACGCAGAGATAATGATTACATCGTAACTTTTTTATATCCTTTTAACTCTAAGAAAAATGTCTGTTAAAAATTGCTGACTATTTTAAACTTTATATTTTCCAAAACATTATTTTCTTTCAGTTGATAGGAATGAACTGCATTTAAACAATCCTTGACATTAAGAATACAATTTTTGGCTGGAAAACTCATTGTAAATGGACCTGTAAACCTAAATTGACACACAGAAATATAAAAAAAGTGAACTGATTTTCAAATGAGCAATTCAATAGGGATTCAATAGGGATTTTAAATGTTAGTGAATAACTTGAAGCTAATAACGAATTTGTATCAATTCTTAATCTCTAATGTATTTTTCTCACATTTTACTTTTATTTTAAAAGGATGTACACATTTCATTAACTGCATTATTTTTATCTAATTGCATCATTTTCCTGGCTGTTTTTTTCCACATATTTTATAGAAACATGATAGTCTTACTGTAGATAAAGATAAAAAATTCTGTGACAATTCAGTAAAAAAATGTTGAAAGGGCCATTCAATTAGCTTATCTAAATGTGACATGTTAGAAACTTGACAAGGTGTAGACATCTTGTAGAGCGAAAGGGCGGAGCTATCAGTGATTTAGAGCAATGCCTTGTTTTTGGTTGAAAAAAATAATGTTGATCATTAAATAGGTTAATGTTTAATAATATGCATTAACAAAAATAATTGGTCGCCTGCCTGCGGCAGGCTTGACCAATTATTTTTGTTAATACATATTATTAAACACTAACCTATACATAGTGGAAATAAAACCTCATAAAACATACACGTTTATGTTCATGGTATTTATATATATAGTCTATTTCAAAATATTCAGTAACTGTATTATCTCTGATAATATCACATTCTAACAACAAGTAGGAAAAGGCCAAAAAATCATAAGTAGAGAGTACTAATATTAATTCCAAGGATGGAATAAATTTGCATATCACACAAGCACACTATGAGACAGATTTAAATTTCTTAATCTATTTTTCTTGTTTGGTATTTATTTAAAGTGATATAAACAAATGAATTGGTCAGTCAACACTCTTAATTTTAAGAGGACACCTTGATAAAACTTCTTTCATATCCCTATCAGGACTTGACCTGCAGAGATCACCATGTTGATTAAATACATGTACCAAGATGAATATTGATTAATCCATTAAGTTGGAACACCGCTAAACCTGTCCTCATCTAATCCAGTCCTATTTCTTCTTTAAGAAGATTACCCTCTAATGTGGAAATCCCTTAATTTCAGATAGTTTCCCTAGCTCAAATATCTTTAAACAGAATAAATTACACATACAATCCAGTCTAAAGTTTGACAAAACAAATAAGTCTGGACGTTTGTTCAGATGAAATTTTTGAAAGAATTTTTTAGTAACATTTAAGTTATTCATTTCCAGCTGTTTAAATACAGTCCAAATTGCCTTTATTATTATAAATATTGAAAAGAGTACTTTGTCTCATATGAAAACCCCTCTAGTCCGGAAACTTGTCTAAACCAGACATCTTTGTCTGTATGTTGTTGGGCTCAGAGGGATTCAAGATGTATACATGCAATATTGGCCAAAAACCAACACTGATAAATCATCATCATTTTATTATGCGTAAATTTTATAAAATCAAACTGTGAAAAAAATAATTACCAGAATCTAGATCATCAATTTTATGTTGTCTTGTAAACTTCTTATCTTTAGCTGTACCAGGCTCAAACTCAGTAAAATCTGAACTCTCCGAACTTGCATCATCAGATAGATCTATATCATCTAACACTCCATTCTCATAGGGCTTCATCATAGGAGGTAATCCTTAAAATAAAATTTACATTTTCATCTAGGCACAATGTCATAAAGTTTTATAGACAAGATCTAAAATATTCTAGCTCGACTATTCTTAGTGCTTGATAATAAAAGAGCCTTGATAATACAAATTTTTTTAGTTAACAAAGGGGCCAAATTTTTCTTTAAATCAATGTTACAGTTATAGGCCTTGGAGAGAGTCCTATTATGCTAAATAATATGTATAAAATTTCAGTTTGTTTCAAAGCCAGATGAAAATATCTGAGGTGGTATACAAACTTAAACGTCAATTTTAAGTCAAAACAAGAGCCCGGTTTGAGCCGGGTGATGCTCCCCGAATAGGTTTTGGACACAGAAAGTACACCTCTTGTAGTTTCAGAGTTATGTCCCTGGAAAAAGTTCAAAGTGCAATAATTCCAAAATATGGCAAGGCAGAGTTACTGTTCTTTGCACTGCACGCACTTCTAATCAATGTGATCTATCAACCTACAAAGTTTCTTGATGATATCTCTTATGATTTCCAAGTTATGTCCCGGACAATTTCAAAAAGTAAAAATAAACAAAGGGCAATAACTCCAGAATTAGGCAAGGCAGAGTTATGATTCTTGTGCACTGCACATCTACCCATTGAGATATATCTACCTACAAAGTTTCATGTTGATATCTCTTATAGTTTTACAGCTATGTCCTGTACAAGATTTTTCTAAAAGGGGAGATAATTAAAAAATGAGGCTTAACAGAGTTATGGTTCTTTTGCACTGCACCTCTACTCAATGAGATCTATCTACCTACAATGTTTCTTGATATCTCTTATAGTTTTAGAGTTATGTTCCGGACAAAGTTCAAAGTGTTAAAATAAACAAAGGACAATAACTCCAAAATAAGGACAAAAAGAGTTATTGCTCTTATGCACCGCACATCTACCCATTGAGATCTATTCACCTACAAAGTTTCATGTTGATATCTCTTATAGTTTTAGAGTTATGCCCCAGACAAGATTTTTCTATAAGGGGAGATAATTCAAAAACCAGGCAAAATAGAGTTATGGTTCTTTGACACTGCACTCCCCCTTAATGCCCTCTACCACTGTATGAAGTTTCAACAAATTATCTCCAAGGGTTTTCAAGTTATGCTCCGGACAAGACAACGGACGGACAGACAGAAGGACGGACGGACAGACAGACGGACAAGGCGCCGACTATATGCTCCCCCGAAATTTTTCGGGGAGCATAAAAAGGGCAATACTCTTTCAAAATGCTTGATAGAGTTACCTCCTCTTGTCTACAGATTGGGGGCATGATGAACAAGTGTGCAAAGTTTCAAAGCCATATGTCAATGGACTTTGTAAATATTTGAGGTGTTACAAAACCTTTTACATAAATTCTAAGTCAGAAAAGGGGAATAATTCTGTCAAAATGCTTGATAGACTTATCTCCTCCTGTCAACAGGTTGATGACATGATGGTGAACAAGTGTGCAAAGTTTCAAAGGCATATGTCAATGGACTTAGAAAATATTTGAGGTGTTACAAAAACTTTAATGTAAATTCTAAGATAAACAAGAGCTGTCGGTAGGACAGCAACGCTCGACTATTCTTAGTGCTTGATAGTAAAAAAAATGCTTGATACAGTTACCTCCTCCTGTTTACAGGTTGGGGTAATGATGGTAAACAAGTGTGCAAAGTTTCAAAGCCATATGTCAATGAACTTTGAAAATATTTGAGGTATTACAAAAACTTTAACATAAATTCTAAGTCGAAAAAGGGCATAATTCTGTCAAAATGCTTGATACAGTTACCTCCTCCTGTCTACAAGTTGGGGTCATGATGGTGAACAAGTGTGCAAAGTTTCAAAGCCATATGTCAATGGACTTGGAAAATATTTAGGGTATTACAAAAACTTTAACATAAATTCTAAGTCGAAAAAGGGCATAATTCTGTCAAAATGCTTGATACAGTTACCTCCTCCTGTCTACAGGTTGGGGTCATGATGGTGAACAAGTGTGCAAAGGTTCAAAGCCATATGTCAATGGACTTTGAAAATATTTGAACTATTACAAAAACTTTAACGTAAATTCTTAGTCGAAAAAGGGGCATAATTCTGTCAAAATGCTTGATACAGTTACCTCCTCCTGTTTACAGGTTGGGGTAATGATGGTGTACAAGTGTGCAAAGTTTCAAAGCCATATGTCAATGGAATTTGAAAATATTTAAACTATTACAAAAACTTTAACATATAGAGGATATTTGTTTAGTTTAGTGTAAGATCGAAATATATTTCACCGAGTGAGCACCAAAATGTATATTTCACGAGTGGCGCAGCCACGAGTGAAATATGAACTTTTGGTGTTCACAAGGTGAAATATATTTCGATCATACACTAAACTAAACAAATTTTCTTTTTATTATATGCAAAGAAACGTTTTAAAAAGACATTAAACCTAATACTGAATGAAAAGCGCGCCAAATAATAATACAACGTGACGTCATTTACGACGTCACGTCATTAAGTTGGTACCCAGTACTGTGCACGCTGGTATTTCACTGAAACAACGTAAGGGGCTTAAATTCAAAACAGTGAAATTATCAAAGTGGTATTTTCACTGTTTCAAACAGTGAAATTACCAGTTTTATTTCACTGAGATATTTCTATAAACCACCGAAAAGCATGTAATAAAAGTGGTTACGCCGACGCTCGGGGTACTACAATAGCTCTACTTATTCTTATCGAATAGTCGAGCTAAAAAGGGGCATAATTCTGTCAAAATGTTTGATACAGTTACCTCCTCCTGTCAACAGGTTGGGGTCATGATGGTGAACAAGTGTGCAAAGCCATATGTCAATGGACAAATATTGGAAGCATTACAAAAACTTTAACATAAGTGGTTACGCCAAAGCCGATCCTTAGGTGACCAGTAAAGCTCTACTTATTTTTATCGAATAGTCAAGCTAAAAATAATAATTACATGCTTGATATAATTGGTTACATCTTATGACACTACAGACCACTAGAGCCTTTAACAACGGCATGAGCTGACACTTGCATGCAGCCATCGGTCGTCTCATAGCAAGCTGGCTACATGTAGCTTCCAAATAATACAACAAATAATATAACACCTTGGCAGTATTATAAATAATAAAAGTTTTTTCTGTCAGATGATTTTATTCACTTGGTCGTGAAACCTTAAATAAGAAACACATGACACTTACCATTGGTATATAATGCTGACTTGGATATGGGTGAAGTTTTGACTGGACTTGACACAGGGCTAGATGATTGTTCTATAATATCAATCTTGTCCTTCAATGCACTTAAAGTACACCTGAATTATGAACAATATACAGTATTTACATCATACATTATATTATACAGTAAGAAATAATCCAATTTTCAGACAGTTAAGTGATAAAATAACATTTACAATCCTGTTTGTACCTATCAAACTTTAAACTAAAACATTGCTGTTTATTCTGAAGACAAATAAAAAACTATGACAAGCTCTCAAAAGAGAACAGAGACAGACACACAATCAGAACTTCGATGGAAAATACACAAGAAACCATAAGATCCGGATCACGATCTTAGAAGGTGGCTAAATGGTTAAGAAGTCTGCATCATACTCAAAGAATCGTGGGTCCAAGATATACTGAGGTCACAACCATATTTGTTAGTTTTGGAAAGCAATCTTGAAAATGGTTCCAATTAATTTCAAGCTTTAATATCAATCAAACTTAAATTTATAAGTCAATACCAAATAAGAAAAATAAAGATTTTATCACCTGAGCTCATTTATCTGCATTTTCTCCAGCTGCCTGTTTGTGTTTATCATTGATACAGTAGATGATGGTAACTGAGATTTTTTCTGAGCAAGTGACAATGAATTCAGCGTCTATAAAGTAATATATTCCACAATTAATGCACAGATGAAGATAATTACAAATCAGAACCAATATCAAAGAAAAAAAAATTTGTAAAAAAAATTCCGAACAAAGTAATCTTTATAACATACATGCATCAGGCTTTCACTCACATTCATAGAGTCTTATTTAATATTTTATCTTAAATTTTGCAGTTTTAAATTTATCATGATTTATGATCGCAAATTTAGCAAAAAAATACAAAAAACAACAACACGCTGTAATATTAATATTCTCTATATCTAACAAATCTCATTTTTAAGCATTTTTGTCATATGCTTTTTCTTAGTGAAACTCTTAATAGATAATGTAAAATTTATTCAGTTTTATATATCATTAGAGTCATTAAACAATTTTTACATATTGTACATGAAAACTTGAAACATGATGTCATGTTAGTGCAATAACTGATTAACTCCTATTAAATTTGGGACTTATTCCGTTACTAAGATGACAATATATGAGCTACGTCATGACAAAACAAACATAGTGCGTTTGCGACCAGCATGGATCCAGACCAGCCTGCGCATCCGCGCAGTCTGATTAAGATCCATGCTGTTTGCCATCAGTTTCTCTACTTGTAATAAAGTTGGTAAGCGAACAGGATGGATCTTAATCAGACTGTGCGGATGTGCAGGCTGGTCTGGATCCATGCTGGTCGCAAACGCACTATGTTGGTTTTGTCGTGACGCGGCTCATATCATACCCTGTCAAAACCATCCTGACGACGCTCAGTCTCTCGTCTCCCTGATAAAACACTGGCAAGTTCTAGCTCAATTTTTGCTGTAAAATATACAACACTTAAAAATACAACCTCACACATAAATTTCAACCTTTTCTTTAACAAATAACTTCAGTTTTAATAAGGGATTGAAAATAGAAAACTATATTCATTCTTTTTCCAATTAAAAATTTGAAAACATTTTGGATTTCTTTTCACTATATAACCAATCTAACCACATTAAAATAAACTCTTTTACTTTGAATCAAATTTAAATGAAGAATATAATGAATTATGAACTTTAAATATTCAATAATGCCAGAATAATGCTTGTTTTTAAGTTTTCATACATTCCATATAATATTACCAAACATAGTAAACAGCCATTAAAACATGGCCATATAACCTGTTTCTTAGTGTCTTAATAACCAATATAGACCACTGAATAATTGTTTGATTTTAATAAAAATATCATTCATTGTTTTGCAGCAGCCATTTGTATAGATCATACAAATATTTTGATTGTCCAATAAAAAAACAGTATTATACATCGTATAAATGTACCCGGTACATACCAATCCTGGAGCGCATGACTTCAATATCTCTACGGAAACCTTCAAGCTCATCTCTGAATGCATGCTTTCTGTAACAACAACAACATTTCATTATAAGTCTTGTATTATGATGAAATTCCTATAGGATATTTATAAAATCAACATTTTCTTTTTTCCAACTAAGAAAAAACCTAGTTACTACAAAAGCCAGCACAATTATAATTACACAATATCAATTGCATTTTATAAAACAAAAGATAGTTTTGAGAATACATTTCATTTAAGACTGCTATTATACATGTATATACTATATCAAATACACAAAGACATAACTTATGTAGTTTTTTATTGTTGTTGAACTGACAGTACCAATTATGAACAGGAGGGCCATGATGGCCCTGAGGTCGCTCACCTGTATAAAGGCACCCGGGGCGGGGCCAGTTTAAACCCCAGAGCTTTTATTTGAACAAACTTGGAAGACACCCATTAGAAGATGTTTCATGCCAAATATCTAAGCTCTAGCTCTTAGGGTTTTTTAAAAGAAGATATTTAAAGTTTTTTCTTTCGGTTGCCATGGCAACCAGAGTTCTGCATGGAAACAACTTTGTTAAGGCTTCACACAAGGAACATCCCTGTGAAGTTTCATTATGATCTGCCTTATGGTTTCAGAGGAGATGTCGTTTTAAAAGTGTGAACGGACAACGGACGACGTACGACGGACGCAGAGTGATCCTAATAGCTCATCCTGAGCATATGCTCAGGTGAGCTAAAAACATATCAATTTTTATTCCTGGAAAAGTGTGGGTGAAAATAACATGATATATAAATACCCTCTTTTATCAACTCTAATACTAGATTTAATCAATTTTCAAATAGAAGCATGATTTCATTTATATTTATTTGAAAGACATTAAATTCACAACTCTATTGGTAAAAGAAGAAATTATCATGAGACTGTAACATATCTTCGAAGTACTTTAACAAGCATTAATTTTCACACACAATAAAAATAAATGTGCATATTCTATTTCTGGAATGGTGGAAATAACATCAAAATATCCTAAAATATTTCATGAAAAAATAAATCTACAAACAAGAGATCTACAAATCAAAATGAATATTGTGGTTAAGGAACAAATATTAATAATATCTTGAAAAATTCCAACTAATCTGATGATAGTCTTCAATTTAAGCTAAGATAAGTATTGGACATCCTATATCAATTATTAACATCCATTTGCTGCTTTTAAATTGTACCATATGACCATCTAATATATTTACATATTGGACACTGCAGCATCCTATATACAAGTAGTTATCCTGTACTGGACAATTTAGTGCATTTGACTTTTACCATGTCACGTCAAATTGATAAATGCCGTTAACAACAAAATTATCAGAATAAATGTTACGAAGAACATTGAAATGGTTGAAAATAAATTTTACTCTGGCTATATATTTATGTTTATGACAGGGAAAACTAACTTTATAGACTAGAATTTTTACCTCTGTAAAGGTCAAATATAAGAAAATTGTCCCGCTCCCTTATGGCATATAATCCAGAATCACAAAATTAAGTACTACTCATGTAACATGTTAGCAGCCATTTTAATTTGGTCATACTTTTCATTACTCTAACAATTCAACATGTTTAGTCACTTATACATGACGGGAACTTGAATCTTAACATATACATAAAATTACTGTTATTGGCCTTTAAGAAATTTAGTATAAGTGTGCTTTGAAAAGCTTTCTAAGAAGTAAAAATGTTCACCAAAACAAAACTTCTCCAATACCTAAAATGTTGATTAAAATTAAATCCTTATGTTATGTGGGTTATCCCAGAAATGTCCACCTGTGTTGGAGCTATAACAAGGTACTAAGGAATCAATTAAAGGAATCAATGGTCTACATTCAACTACATACTTTACCCAGCATGCAATTCTCAGCAATATTTTCTCAACTCACTAATCAAATATAATTGTATTGAAATGTCTTGAAACATACTAGTTAAAGTTTTAAACATCATTACATAACAACAATGAAACAAGGCTATAATATATCAACCATATATAATATGCTATAAAATCTTTGTCAACTATCTTTTATTTGTTAATTTTCAGCAAAAAAGGATGGTATCAAATGCCGAGGAAATATATTTTAAGTGAATAATATACATGTATAAACTAAATACAAAATGTAGAAGAAACAGAAAAAGGGCATTTTTTTTTTCTAATTTACTGATTGTATCAAGGTTATAAATTTCTATAATTATTGACATTGAGAAATACATAGAAAAAGTTCAGTAGTGTGAGTTTGGTGACAGATATTTGTTAAAAAAAAATATCAAAAATTTTCTCTTAATCAGGAAAAAATTAATTTCTTTAACTTCTTAATTTGTCATAGATCTGACTATCATGTGGAAGATTTATAAGGAAAGAATTTTTTTAACACTTGCACAAAACTTTGCATTTATATAATCAATGTTTTTTACACAAAAAATGCCCCATGTATTTAAATAACATTTACATTCATATTGGACACAAAAACACCATATCTAGATAGCTGAAATAATTATTTCTTTTTCTTGTAGGTACAATCACACAGAAAAAAACAATTAGCAGTATAAACATATATTATGGATGGGAGACAAAATATCATACCAATTGAATGTTAGATGTGTTTTTTTTTACACAAATGCATTTATTTTTTGAAGCATATAGTAAACAAAACCACGAAGCTAAAATGTTTCACTTACATTTCTATTACATCTCTATTCATTGACAATAACTGTGCGTCTGATAGTTGAGAACTACTCCCCTTCGCAGAGCTTATTTGTAACTGACTTTGTAGTAACTGTACTTCTCCTAACATTTCCCTCCTTAATTGTTCGATACGTCGTTCAACACCAGGGTCAGGTCGTCTGTCTCCTGCCCGCTCTGTAAGCTGGAATATTTCATCTGGAAAAAGAAATAAAACCATGAATGAAAACAAAAATGAGCCGCGTCATGACAAAACCAACATAGTGCGCTTGCGACCAGCATGGATCCAGACCAGCCTGCGCATCCGCGCAGTCTGATCAGGATCCATGCTGGTCGCAAACCCATTATGTTGGTTTTGTCATGACGCGGCTCATATATAGTATATACCCAACTGTTTATCATCCAATCAAAAGAGGCTTACTCAAGTTTTGACTGTTATGTTAGTAACTTTTACTTCGGATATACGCCTATTGAAGTAAGTACACCTTTATTACAGAAAGTACTAGAAACATTTAAGTACCACAGAAAAAGAAGATAAATCTACTGTAATAAGAAGTTTTAAGAATAACTCAATAACAATAACAGAAGCCTAATAGTTAAAGTATCTTCAACTTAACCCTGAGATTCAGATTGTTGCCGTGAGATTGTGAATGTATTTCCCCAGTAACAGTAAGCCAAAGAGATGGTAAAGTATGTAACTATTTTACTGGAACAAGCTATAATAATTCACTTACTTCTTAGATCTCTAATTTGTTCTTTATAATTGTGTCTATCTGTTTCCAGCCTGTGTACAATACCTCTCAAATGATCTATTGCCTACAATATGATTTAACCATAACATGAATCAGATATAATATAAATCTACACAAAGTAAAGGAAATATTTTGGAAGGAGATAATATGAATCAAATCCTTACACATAGCAAATCTGTGATTAAAATAAAATTAATGTAGGAGGTGCAATCAAGTAAACATTATAGTTATATTAAAACTAGATAGTCAAAAACAATGTTAGCATATCAATTAAAATTCATTCAATTAAAATTTAAGACAATACATTAAAGTTTAAAGCATCTGCAAGAACCTGAAATATATCAAACTGGCAGTTTACCATCAGACTTCAATGTTTAATATTTAATTTTTTGGAAGGTGATAAATTGCCTTCCTAAATTATTGCACCTCCTTATATGTTGTCATTCTGACCTCTTGAAAATACCCCCAAGAACAACAACAGAATATAATGTATGCATAACAAAATAGATTGATGCTTTTAAGTTTTTAAGTATATCAGAAAAAAATATGTACAAAGTACAACATGTAGTTCATTTTTGGCACTTCAGAAAATAGTAGAAGAAAAACATCATTTTTGCTGATATTTGTCATTTTTTATTTCCAACACACATGAACCCTTTGTCTAACCAGGATATACACTATCAACAGCTGTTATCCCTCTGACTAGTACTGTCATTACATAGTCACTGTTAAAGGTGGGCCACGGAATACAATAGGAAAGTTTTCTGAATGACTTCACTCTAAATTATTTTCCCCCTAAGGAAAGGGTTTTTCCATTGAGAACTAAAAAAATTAACAAATATTTAACAGTGTACCCATACCATGTGACTTTCATGACATTTTATGGTTATACGGCAAAGAGATAGTAAATAAACTGCTTGATTGTCTGATGCTAATTGCTATATTATGTCAGAGATGTTATCTATGTCTCTGATTATGTCTACTAAAAGTAACTAACATTATGATTGCCCTTATGTTCAAACTTACATTATTTTGTTGTTCTATTTTATCAAGAAGGGTGGTTGTAGAAGGGTATGGCATGACAGTACTGGTTGTTGCTGTTCCAGTGAAGAGTTCAGTAGGAAAACTCTGGTTGTAGACTGAAGGTGAACCACTTGGTATCTCTAATAGGGAAGTACTTCTTTTCATTGGAGTTGAATCTATTGTAAAGGTAAAATCAGAAGTAACAAACTTGTGAAGAATGATTAACAATTATTAGACTTTTTTATGCATAAAACATTATGAAATCAATCAATGATTATTTGTGTCAGTATATTTATACATGCTGATATCAAAAACAAAGCATATCTGATTATTAACTGTTAATTTTACAAAAATGATATAGTGAAGAAAATTACTAAGTTTATACTCACAAAATTTTGGGGCCCATGTAACATTTTTCGATCCATTTGCATCATACTTGTTCTGAAAATTCAAAAGAGATTTCTCTTTTGTGTATTCTAGAAATTTTAGTTGGAGAAGCAGGGACTCTAACTTGAGGCATCTAGCTTTGAAGGAAAGAGTTTTTTACCACTAGATTACTGAAAACATGCCTGCTTATTTGATGCCAAAACAAGTATGACACTACTCGCTCAAAATCAAAGACATAAGTTGCCTACTTAAAGTAGGCAACTTATGTCTTTGATTTTGAGCAAGTAGTGTAACTTTAATTATTTTCACATATTACTTTAACTTTCATATTTTCAATTAGATCTACATGTTCACTGTGATGTTACACATATAACCTATCTACTGTCTATGATAAGACTGTCTCAGTGTATAAACTATTAAACTCACTTGCACTTAGTTAAACATAAAAAGATATATATGAAAAAAAAAACACTCTTTAAACTTAGTTTAAAATTGTTTGCAATGTTTCCTATTTTAAATTTTTTACTTGTAGCAGAATTACCTTATCACATGAATAAATTATTCCAAAATATTTTGGGACCTACATGATAACTTCAGATAAACTACTGTGATAACATTGGATTCAGTATCATGAATTGTGACTTCTACATCACAATGTGTACCTTATTATGACCTAGATGAAGAGACACAACCCTTATAAAATTAAACAAGGATAAGCTAAGCATATACTTCATAAAATATTTGATAAATGTTTTATACTTACATCTACCACTCGATCTGAATTACATGTTGTTGAAAACCGGACAGTCAGGGGGTAGGGGGATGGGGGGGGGTTGTAGTGAGTGAGACTTTTCAGGCTCCTGAATGTTTTGGACTTGGTTTTTTCGTCTCTGAGACATGCCATTCCTGATCTTTAAAACAGCTAGTTTACAATACAATATCAGTATGTGTGACATGTCCTATGTTGTTATAGTTTGACTAGTCAATGGATTGGATTATCTCAAATACCAGGGTTTTGAGGACGTAATCAGGTAATGCCCTAAAGGAAACGACTGTTTACGTCCTCACAAGACAAGAAAGGATGATAAATATATGTAAATCAGTCGTGTCCACAGACATTTGAGGTTCAGAACCTATCCTTGTTTTGAATCGCCCCTTAATTTAAACGGTCAATAAAAATCATTAATATTTTAACACAAATGGGATGCTATTGGGGATCTGTCTTAATCATTAAACTTGTGTTAGCGCCAATAGTTGTATTGTGATTTGGTATAAGAATACCGCGTGTTACATGAGTTACTTCCCTTTGTGTTAGTTTTGCCATTTGCTCTGTAATAAAGTTAAATTGTTCGTTGGTGATTCTTTCTCCTTACTGGCGTGGCGGCAGCTGTGTTAATAAAGAAACAACGCCTGTTCGATGCTAAAAAGACTTTTTCGTTAGCCACTCTACCAAAATCTGTACGGAGGCGGAATAAGCTCAATCAAGGAGTCCAACGAGGCAGTTTTTTACCAGTAACTGTTTACAATTTATCTTGCAAATACAGCAGTGTATAAAGGAGCTATTACTTACACTTCGTGACTTAAAACTGTATCTATGGCAACTCAGCGCGCTCCTAAGCAGTGGCGTCTCACTAAGAACGAGACTATAACGTCATTCGAGTCGTGGCGTCAGAATCTCCAATATACACTTTCTCTTGACGCCAATTTTGCTACTTACTTGGTCGATGGAGCTACTTGGTTAAAGAAGACAAGTAAAAACCCGGTTCGTGCTTTACAGACGACGGTGAGGATGTTCCTCAACAGGCACGGAGAACAGCGCTCAAAAAGTAACACATTTAGAATTGATGCTGGCCAAATTGCTAACTTTTGTCCTGTGATTTCTAGAAATACCATAGTAAAAATTCTACATGCATGAATGACATTTGGCAGGCTATTCGATTACACTTCGGTTTTCAAACCAGTGTGCGGTCATTTTTTGACTTTGACGGTATAAAATTAGAACCTGGAGAAAGACCTGAAGATCTTTACCAGCGTCTATACAGTTTCGTTGAGGACAGCATGCTCACTACTACAAGTAGAATAAGCCATCATGGAGAGGTCCCAACTTCTGACGAGGAAATGACTCCAACTCTTGAAAATATGATTGTGTTGACATGGCTCAGGCTTGTTGATAAGAATTTACCAATCCTGGTAAAACAGCGGTACGGCACTGAGCTTCGGTCAAAAAACGCTGTCTTCATTAAAACCAGAAATTTCTCAGGCACTTGACAGCTTATTGGACGAAATTCAAGTTTCAAATGAGGCAAAAGTACTTCGTTCCACATTCCATAAACCTGGTTATACAAAACAAAAACAAAAGCAAAAAGAATGCCCTTTGTGCAAGCAAGCGGACGTCAGAAGTTCAATCATTTCTTAAGTGCCTGCAAATACCTACCTGAAGAGGACAAACAGTACATGACGAAGGTGCGACAAATGGCAGTCATCGACTCTGACAGTGAGTCGGAAACCGGACTCTGAAAGCATCCCAAGTGCTCAAGAAACAGTCACATCGCGTAACACGTAGAGTCGGCACAAAGCAGTCTCCAGCTATAAAGATGTTTCATCGGCACTTTCCTGTTACCATAACGCTTGATACCGGTGCTGAATCCAGTATGATCAAGCATTCTTTGCAAAGTACATTGACGCACCCATCATGAAGAGTAATCAACATGCTACCCAAGCTGATGGTGTAACCCCATTAGACATTATCGGCGAAACACACATTACTTTGTCACGGGCGCCTTTGAGTTTCAGTTGGATGCCCTTGTTGTTGCTGACTTAGATGTAGACATTCTTGGCGGTGTGACCTTTTTATGGCCGCTAATGATATTTCAACACGCCCAGCAAAAACAGCAGATAGTCTTGCATGATCGTGAAATTGTCCATTACGGCACAACCTTCTCATGCCGATTCTAAACACAGAGTGCGCAGAGCCCAAGTTCCTTCGTGATCCGTGCTCCGAGGGTCTTCACAGGTTACATGCCTGGGTCATTTGTAGAATTGGACACCCCCAGTAATGTCGATCCCGAGGATCATTTGCTGTTGAGCCGAAATGTGAACACAACTCTTGGTTGTCACCCCAAATTGTTGATGCCGTTGTGTAAGATTCGTATCGTTAATACCACTGGTGAGCCCGTAGCAACCCGAAGACATGAGCATGTGTGTAATGCAAGACATACTGAAACTATGTATGAAAGCTGTACAGACCATTTAGAAACAAAAAACAATGTCAAAAATTTGAATCCTGGCAACTACTCAAAAACCGTTGTGCTTGACCCGGATAACACTCTAACCAATGAGACCAAACAGAAGTTTCGTACTACTCTGTATGAGTTTGACAATGTTTTCAGCCCACACCTAACTGGATACAATGAGCAGTAGCCCTTTGAAGGCAACAGTGAACATGGGGCCTGTTCTTCCCCCTCAGAGGAAAGGACGAGTACCTCAATACTCTAAAGACAAGCTTGTTGACTTCAAAGTAAATTTGATGAACTGGAAAGAACAAGGCGTGTTTTGCTCGACCTGAAGATACTTAATGTTACCGTCGAGTATCTTAACCCATCATTCCTGGTTAAAAAGCCACAAGGCGGATTCAGATTGGTGACCGCATTGCTGATGTAGGGCGGTATAGCACAGCCACAGGCCTTCGTTAATGCTGACGCTTGAGTCTGTTCTAAGATCAATAGGCCAATGGCAGTATTTGATAGTTTCAGACTTAAAAAGTGCATTCTATTCAGATTCCCTTGCCGTGAGTCGCTTAAGTACTGTGGAGTGTCTACACCATTTAAAGGTATCCGTGTATACACCAGATGTGCAATGGGAATGCCTGGCTCAGAGACGGCCCTCGAGGAGCTCATGTGCCGAATTCTGGAGATCTACTCCAGGAGGGTATTGTTTGCAAGCTTGCAGATGATCTCTACTGTTGGCGGTGACACACCTGAACAGCTACTTCACAATTGGCGTCGCTGTACTCGCTGCACTCGATAATAGTAACATCAAACTAGCCCCATCAAAAACAGTTATCTGCCCTAAATCAACCAATGTGCTAGGCTGGATTTGGTCAGAAGGAATTTGTCTGCTAGCCCACACCGTGTAGCTACAACTTGCTTTCATGTCAGCCTCCGGAAAATGTCCGCGGTTTAAGGTCGTTCATCGGAGCATACAAAGTCTTGAGCAAAGTTGTCCCTGAATGTTTCTATCTATCTTGCCCCACTAGACGATTTGACAGCCGGTCATCAATCGCAAGACAAAAAACGATGGGATGATCAAAGTCTCGAGCATTTCGAAAGGGCAAAACGTGCATTAAACGACCATAAATCAATCGTCATCCCCCAACCAAAATGACAAATTGTGGATTGTAACAGACGATCGGTAACCAGGCGTGGTATTGGTGCTACGTTGTATGTTATGCGAAAACACAAGCTACGATTAGCAGGATTTTTTAGTGCGAAGTTGCGCAGACACCAAGTTACCTGGCTACCATGTGAAATTGAGGCTTTAAGTATCGGAGAGCAGCCATTAAACACTACAGTCCGTATATTGTGCAATCATCAAAAGCAGCATGCGTTCTTACAGACAGTCAGCCCTGTGTTCAGTCAGTTCAAAAGCTCTATAGGGGTGAATTTTCTGCCAGTCCAAGGGTGACGTCATTTCTGTCTAACGTGAGTAGATATCAGGTGGTCGTACAACATTTAGCAGGCTCTGCTAACGTACAAGTGATTTCGCCAGTAGAAATGCGCCAGATTGTACGGAAGTACGATGCCAGATTTGTTCCTTCATACGCGCTATGGAAGATTCAGTTGTGCGTTCCCTCAATGTTGACGATATTGTCAACGACACTGCCCGCTTACCTTTCACTACAAGATCGGCTGTTGGCGTGATATCCAGGGTGAATGTCCAGACTTGCGTCGCGTGCACTCTCACTTAAAGCAAGGGACTAGACCGTCCAAAAAATTAACAAACATAAAAGATGTTAAACGGTACTTTGCAGGTGGTTACTATTTCAAAAGATGGTGTTTTAGTTGTGAAGCGTTCTGAACCATTCTCTTCCGAGAAAAGAACAAATAGTTGTACCACGTTCCGTTCTTGATGGACTTCTTACGCCATGCATGTCAAGCTTGACCACCCTACAAAGCATCAGTTAGACTTGTTGGTGCGAAATACTTCTTTGCTTTAGATATAAAACAAGGCTATCGAGCGTGCAACTAGCTCGTGTCACACGTGTGCTTCCCTTAAGAAATTCCCAAATCATTAGTACAGCAGTCGAGCGAGGATCCCCCAGAATCCGTCGGATTAGCATTCGCAGCTGATGTCATGAAGCGTAAGTAAACAATGCATTCTTGTTGTACGAGAAGCCGTAACATCATACACAAAAGCTGTCATGGTTGACAATGAACAAAAAGTCACTTTACGTAATGCTTTAGTGTGTTTAATGATGGATATGCATCCAATTCATGGTCCACCTGCTGTGATAAGAGTTGATCCCGCACCCGCCTTTGTTGCGCTTCGCGATGATGAGCAGTTAAAACAGGCTAATATAGTATTAGACATAGGTCGTGTTAAAACGCCAACAAAAACCCTGTTGCTGAAAAAGCCATAGCTGAATTAGAGGACGAGATAGTTCGCGTCCAGCCCGGTGGCGAGTCTATTTCTGAAGTTCAACTGGCCACCGCCGTGAACCACCTGAACTGCCGTTTGAGACGAAAGGGAATCTCTTCCCGTGAACTGTGGACACAACGTGATCAGTTTACGCACAACCAAATCCCTATAAGTGATAGAGATGTTATTCTTTCTCAAAATTCTACTAGAAACAAAAACCACTCGTATAGTGAAAAGTCGAAGTGTTCGTCATATCGAAATTGTGAAACCATAGAAATAGTGATATAGTGTACTTATACTCCGACAAAACTAAACATGCTTCTCGACAGCGATACATCGTAGTTTCCGTTGATGGTGATTGGTGTTTCATAAAGAAATTCACTGGTAACCAATTACGCTCCACCTCATACAAAGTGAAAAGATCGGAATGTTTTCGTGTGCCTTCTGATATATGTGATATATCTCATAACATCCCAAATCTGACAGAATCTGATTGTGATAGTGATTCGGAGATATGTGAAGGATTAACTGTTCAGGACGACAATGCACCTGTAACTCTTACAAATCCGTTTGATTCTGACGATGAGAGTTGTTCCCCTTTGATCGTTATGGAGCAAGTTCACGCAGATGATCACGACGTCGCGGTAGACGATAGTGTATCACATACTAGCAGACCACAGCGTTCTCGGAAACCCCCTAAGTACTTAAATGATTATGTGTGTTAATTACTTTGCAATATGTGACAACATTAATTCACCATTCCACACGAATTTAAAGTTTTGTTCAACGCTAGATCTAGTTTAATACCAAATGTTGTTTATATTGAAATAATGTTATTGTTATAACAATCTTGAAAGTGTATCTTAACTTTCTGTCGACATTATGCATGTTCAAGTTAATCCCACACATGTGTTCAATATTGTTGAGTTTTTACAAAAGCTTTATTTCTTCTTTCAATCTAGTGTTATAAGTAATCACACGTTTTAGTTGTTCACTACTTAAGCAAGTACTATAGAAGTCATGTGTGTGTAATTATATATCTTTATATATATCTTTACTGATCTGATACTGTTTGAATATACCTCGTCAAACAAAATATTTTCATTTCAAAAGAAAAGAGGTAGCGCCAATAGTTGTATTGTGATTTGGTATAAGAATACCGCGTGTTACATGAGTTACTTCCCTTTGTGTTAGTTTTGCCATTTGCTCTGTAATAAAGTTAAATTGTTCGTTGGTGATTCTTTCTCCTTACTGGCGTAGAACCATTTCCACAAAAATAATAAAAAATTTCATTTATCTCAAGTCTAAAGTAAAGGGTCGATTCAAGCCGGCAGGGTCTTTCAAATAGAATGGTCTCGAAACACGCTATGTAAACCCTTCTCACTACAATTAAACATGTCTCGGTATAACTAGGTGTAGTTTGCTATACGCAAATTATGTAAGTGTTCAAGAAAAGGGCAAATATTAAATACAAGAGCAAAAATGAAAATTTTAATGACATGATGTTATTTAAAAATCTTTAAACTTGTGAAAAAAGGATAAATATTTCAGAAAATAATGTTTTTTAAAGCCATATTTGTTGAAAAACATAAATTGCTTGTTCAGAATATTTGCTGATAAACGGCGCCATTTTGAAAATGCACCAAATTAAACATCAAATATTTGCAAATAACATCGTGAAATATTATAATATTTTTACATGATACGATTTAAAAACATCTTTTCTCTGTAAAATCAATTTTTATTTTGTCATTGAACAATGCATAAATTTAAAAAGAGCTCATGAAACTCAGACCTATTTTCAAATATGAGCAGTAGATTTTACCTTGACACCGGGAACGAAAAATTCCTAATTTCATTGCAAATCTATAAAATTGTTATCTTTAAAGTAAAAACTGATAATATAATGTAGTCAGAGTTAGTTTTTAGTAAGTTTTTGATTGCTTTAACAAAACATTATCTTATAATTTGATTTTTGAATGGTGATGTGCTATGCGGTAGATAACCCAATCACGTGACTCAACCCGAGACAGTTTTTTTCGTAAAATTGGTCCGTCTCCAGACCATTCTATTTGAAAGACCCTGAAGCCGGGGATAGGGTTTGACTCAATGTCTGCGGACAGAGTCTGTGGTCTGACATGTCCATATGTAGACACTTGAGGGTGTGGAGCTTAAAACGCCTTTAAAATCCAAATAAAATGTATATTTGTCAATCTCAGCAAATATACATTTTATTTGGATTTTAAAGGCGTTTTAAGCTCCACACCCCAAGGCCAAGTGTCTGGTCATGTCAAATTATGAAATTATTCACTTTAATTTACATATTCTTACCCTAACTTTCGATAAATTCGCCTTTGATTCGTTAATGATTGACGTAAATTTCTTTTCCCAATCCATTATTTCTCAAGAGTTGATATTTATAGAAGCAGCTTCGAAAAAATCATTTTCACGATCAACCGGATCTCGAATGTCAACAAAGAGTGTTAGGTTCAACTAGTCCATAAATGATATTACAGCTAAATTCCGTAAATTTCCGTCTTATACCGTATACATGATATTTGAAAGACACTAGTTAGCTTACCAAATAATCATTATCAATTATAAATATAGTCTGGAATTATCCTTTTATCAAATCAAAATAACTTTCAATGTGTAAATTAGATACTGAACAGTACTGTGATATAAGCATATTTTTTAACATAAACTTACAGTTATTCATGACAGGCACCAAGCAGAGGGAATGCACATCTGTTGACTATTATACAAATACTCATTCTTCTCTATTAATATGACTATTTTGTCATTGGAATACCTTGCCCCAGATGTTGTCACTTTGTCTACGTCCATGTTCAATTAATAGGCTGTTATAGCCAGACTCTAAATACACATCTTTTTAAACTTTTATCTCACTTTTAAACCTTTGTTTTTATACTTCTTATAGTGGTGAAGGCAAAGTCTATGTCCCCAGCAGGAGTACATAGAAGATAGATAAACTGGTTTGTTGTAAGAAATTTACGTGATATTTTACAGTAAAACAGAATCGTTTCAAACAAATTTGTTTTTGGTTTGTAAAAGCTTGATATCACCAGGTACGTTTATTAATATACGTACCTGATATCACCTTATAAATAACCCTCTTTGTTCATTTCTAATTAGTAGCTTTACTCGAAATCGACAAGTGCTTATTTTCGCGCGCAAATATAAAAGCTATGTTGGTTAAGTCGTTCAACAGTAAACCAAAACCCTCAACAGAATCTGAGTCGATTTTTTTAAAGACATATACATTATACATGTAGTTTCCTGTTAGTAGCGTTTCCTGTTAGTAGCGGGCTATATAGTGCCTGTTAAACCTGCGTCAAATGGAATTTCAAAGTTAAAATTCGTCTGCGAACTGATCCCACGTGCAAGTATACATGTAAACTATATTAATAAGCTCTACTGTACATGCATGAAAAGATGTGAATGTTTAAGTAAATTACGGTCTATAAATTTATGATTACAGACTTTTCTAAGCCAGGACCTACTTAATTACAGCCTTGCCAACACTCGTCTTAATTACAGTCGAAACTTGTGCCCTCAGTGAATTCTGGTGGTCAACTCACATGGTATATTTTTATCATACACTTTATAGAATTAAGTAACAATTTTATGGATATTTTTGTTGTTAATGTTCAGATCTTAATCATACAGGGAAAAACACTTTTGACATGTACTAATTGATAACCGTTACTTCTTTCAATTACTTAAATAAGTCAGTATGTTTAGAAAACGCTGAATTTCCGTTAAAGCCCACATATACAGGAGCAGTAGTCCAGTGGTAGGACGCGCGCTTAGGGATCGAGAGGTCCCGGGTTCGACTCGAACCCCACCAGGGGCACTGCTAATTTCCTTGAGCAAGAAATTTACCTGCGATTGCTTCACTTCACCCAGGTGTAAATGGGTACCTGCGAGGGTGGTATAATTCCGTTGCGCCAAATTGTCGGCTGCACTAAGCGGAGTTAAAAGACTCCCCAAGGAGATTGATAGATAGATACCAGTAGCCCGATGACCAGCGGTAATAGCTGTAAAGTCGGTGAACGTGCGTAAGCATGAAACTTAGACTATAAATGTAATTACTTACATATGGGATCTGGACGTACGCTACTAAACTAAAATAACATCCATCCTATTGACGTGTGTCATTTAATTGAGTGCATTGTATATGTTAGGCCTATATATCCCTGTGTTTAAATTACAAGATTTCTCCTACTTTTATTTTATTATTTTATCACACATGTCACAGAATTGATTTTTAAAGCAGTCGTCTAGACAAGTTTTAATCATGATTTACTAACAGACTAACACTAGATAGCAACGTTGACGCAACATGCACATTATATTCTGATTGTTGTTCCGAAATCAACTTTTCAACATAATAGCTTGAACTACACCGTCGTCCTTTCTAACACACTATCGCCTGATTAAAATCATTGTGAACAATGACGTTCAATTTTATCTGAATTCCTTGGAGGAAGCTGTTCATTAATATTCACGTAATTTTTTTAACAATCTTCGTTCAGCTTTTAAACATTGTTAAAGAAAACAATCTTATAACTGAACACTTACCGAGTTGATGCGGGAATATTTGATATTGCACTTGACTGTTGTCTCGCATAACAATAATAGCCTCCTATGCAGGATTTTATATGTCTATCGCATCCAAATAGAATTAATTGTGTTTAACTTGAAGTATGGAATATATGATAGCATTCAACATATCACATTATTTTTATGTCAGTCCAGCTTTGACATCAACATGACTACTTTATTGTATATATGCATGCATGCGTGTTTGCTTGCGAGCGTGCGTGCGTGCGTGTGCATTATGAAATGATCCATTTGCCTAGGAGACACAGCATATAACTTTACATTACCTTATACGGAAGCTTATTAGGGTCCAGTAAATGAGCCGTGTCATGACAAAACCAACATAATGCGTTTGCGACCAGCATGGATACAGACCAGCCTGCGCATCCGCGCAGTCTGATCAGGATCCATGCTGTTCGCTTACAAACCGTATAACAAGTAGAGATACCAGTAAATGAGCCGTGTAATGCGCAGACTGGTCTGTATCCATGCTGGTCGCAAACCCATTATGTTGGTTTTGTCATGGCACGGCTCAAATGTAACTAGGCATGCATTTCATAATACAGACAGTGGTTGGAAAACATATTGTAGAATGAAACAAAAGTCCATCTCTAAAGTCATTTAGGCTAAAATCAAGATTTTAAATAAATGCACCAATTTGCATAAACTATTAGAGAAAGTACTTTCCTTTCTTGTTGCCCGTGTGTAATTTGAAGCACGAAAAGTGGTGAGATTTTACCTCTGTGATATTTCTAATATTCCATAAACACAGAGCTATATATACGAATCTCTGCCATAGATTATTAATGAATGAATCGGAAAATAGATCAACATGACCTAAAATGTTTATTAGTCTTAAAAGGTTAAAGATGCCGTTCTTTCCACAATTCAGATTTCTAAGTTTCAAATTTACCCATCTTAGTGTTTAATGTTGAAATTCTTTTTAAGCCGGTGCTACGGGGCGTAGACGATTACTTCCACTTTCCCGCACCGTCCATGAACAGACTCAATCAAACCGAGCCGGCAACATTTTCAGTTTCAGTTCAGTTCATATAATATGCAACTGGTTATAACAACAAACAAACAGAAAAATAACAGTCAAAAATCACTAATATCACAATATAAAAATACAATTATGACTAGATAAATAAACAAAAAGGAGATCATATTGTTCATTTTAAGTACTGAATTCAATACAACATGTATTTTATATTGTAACAAATGGGAACGGAGAATGAGAAGTATTAGTTATCTAAATTTTAGCATAATGTTTTTTTCACAACTATTCATTAATGTTTAATTAATTTCTATTTTGACATAAATTTACGTCTTTGGTGCTGCAAATAATCTGCCGTCGTCTATACTATGGTAGTTGTTCATTCTTCGCGAAGTACATATGAGCCGCGTCACGACAAAACGAATATAGTGCGTTTGCGACCAGCATGGATCCAGACCAGCCTGCGCATCCGCACAGTCTGATCAGGATCCATGCTGTTCGCTTACCAACCCTATTACAAGTAGAGAAACTGATAGCGAACAGCATGGATCCTGATCAGACTGCGTGGATGCGCAGGCTGGTCTGGATCCATGCTGGTCGCAAACCCATTATGTTGGTTTTGTCGTGACACGTCTCATATATATATATATGTACACTCTGAGATGAATTCGAAGAGAGTAACTGATGACTGCTCAATTTTATATCGTACATTAACGTCATTTATGTCAGTTAAAGGCAAGCTATATCATTTTTCAGTAACAAAACACAGATATATGCGTTTTAAATAGCTTCTTTTTGACCTAAAATGATCAAATCGGCCACCTTTTTTAACATATTAGGGTTGAAATTGACGGTCACAGAAGCGACTTTATAAGTAACGCTAAATGAAGTGTAAAAATTGAGTAGAAATAAATCGAAGAATCTTTTCAAACCAAGAGACGCGAGAGCGATTCGGTTTTAGTGGTAATTTATCATTTAAAAGACGGCTATAAGGCGGATTCCTTTAGAAAGTTTATTGAAAATTTACGAATTAGCACTCGCACCACTTCATGTCAATATAACTGTTCACGATAAGGTTTTAACCACTATAATCTGTTTTAATAACTGCGGAAATTTGACAGGTTATACGGTAATTATTTCATTAACACTTTTAAGATGTGTTGCAGAATTTTCTAAACATATTCATTCATGCTCATACGTGGAAAAATTGTGGAGACATCCAATGATTTTATTAAAACTTTGATCTCGTAAAAAAATACAATTTCAAACTGCGCCGACTAAAATAACCAAGTCAAGTAAAAGTTCAACCATGTCGCTAACAGTCTAACATTATATTATAGCGGAATCGAGAGAAAAACGTTGAAAGACCCGTTAAAAGGGAAATGATTACACTCCTATGACAAGCAATTGGTGCATGTGAAATAATAGAACGGATAGTTTCTATATTTGATATATGATACGTTCAATAGTGAAATTGTTAGATTGTTGAGATATCAGTGTGTTATATCGCCACTGACCATTGATCTTGAATGTTGCTTTTATTTTAAATAAAAAGTTGGGAAATGTCAATATTTCCCGAACAATTATAGAAATATGTGACCTACTGGAATAACCTACATTTAAAACGATCTACTTTTTTGGTGTGATTTTTTTTCATTTCCACTGGACTAAAAATAGTTTTTACATGAATAACTTCTACAAAAAAAAGAGAAAGGAAATAAATATTAATTAAACTACATTAAATAGAAGTACGGTTTTATGATATAAATTTTTATATTCATAAGAAGAGGGATTACAAGTGATTTATTAGAATGGATGGTCGGCTGCTCTCGCGCCAGTCTACAACCTCGGTCGGGAGTG